CCTGGCTGCATGACACCCGTCAGCACTTTACCTCCGGGTCCTCGGTTTCCTCATCTGCCAAATACAAAACAGACGTACTGCTCTGGGCAAGCCCACTATCAGGGACCTCTGCTTGAGGACTAAATTGCATCCGATTCAGGCCACGGTCTTTTCAATCATTTGCTACGCATCTGAGAGCTGGACAATGACTAAGGATGACGGAAGGAGAACTGAAGTCTATGAGCGGTGGTGCTGGAGAAGAGAGCTGAATAGCCCTTGTACGGTCAAAAGAAAAAAAGGTACGTCTTAGAAAACACGTAGCCAGAGGACTCATGAGAAGCAAAGATGGCGAGCTTCATCTCTCAGCCCCTGGACCTGTTGCAAAAAGAGGCTAGTCCTTGGAGAAAGACATCGTGCTCGGAAAGGTGGAGGATCAGTGAAGACAGAAAGACCCTCAACAAGATGAACAGACACAGTGATTGTAGCAATAGGCTCAAGTATGTCAGGAATGATGAGATTGGCCCAGGATACGGCTAAGTTCAGGTCTGCTGTTCACAGGCTCACGATGGTCATACTCTACAGCACCTAACAACAACCTCAGAGAGTAACTGGGAATATTAATTCATACTGCTCAATAGACCTGTGTCTGACGCCTTGATGACAGTCCCTAAGCATCTACTTCTACGATAGAATTGATAACAGTGTCCACAAAGATTAGTAATAAAATCCAGAAGAATGAATTCATCCTGAAGACACCGACTAAAGACACCGATGCCATTGAGCTTAAAGAGTTCAGCTACTGACCAAAAAGTCAGCAAGACAAAGCCCCCATGGGCAAAAGATGTGCCAGTCGGCTTCCATAAAGCTTTGAAGCCTTGAAAATAAACGCAGGCATTCTCCTCTGTCTACTGGGGCCCCTGGGTCAGAATCCCCTCTAGAGAAGTAGGGTTTTGGGGAGACATCAACCTGGGTCTGAAGGTATGTGTCTGCCTAACAATGTTGACGTGAAAGTAAGTGGTAAATTGGGACCAGGTTTCATTTCCCGTCAAAGGCTTTCAGCATAGCCCATGCCTCCCATACTCACTTTCATACCACAAGCAGTAAAGTGGACACAGAGACCTGGTTATCAGTAGGGAAATATTTATAAAATGGGGGTTGGTTAGCAAACGAAGCTAAAAATAACCCTATAAGCAAACAAGTTTCCACAAACCAAGATTTGTGAAAAAGTCCATTCTTTCACATCATTACTATGAGAACTATTCATGTGGTAAATGGTGCCTCTCAGCCTGTTAAGACTGGCCTTCCTATGAGCTGGTCTTCAGATTCTAACAGGGAGAGTATCCAGGTCATTCCATGCGGCCAGGCTCAGAGTCCAAGAGGGCACAGCATCTGGTATAAAGTTGCCAGGCGCTAGCTGCAGGGAGGTAACCTAATCCGCATCCCTGCTTCAGACACGAGGCTTCGGAGCCATCTATCCTTACTTCCAGGTCATCTGGAAACTTTTCTAGATGAAACCATCTCCGTGTAGCAGCCATGCCAGGGCAACTGGATGCCGTAAACACATTTTCATCTGTTCTTCCTTTTAGATGCTAAACAGGCACAAGAGGATGTGAATTTATACTTCTTTCCCATTCCCAAGAGGGACAAAAAAAAAATTAAAATAAGGCACACATCTAAAGGGTGTGAAGATCTCGCTCCATAATCTGTGAGCCTGAGTTCTGCTTGTAAATTGGAGAGCAGGCTGGCCGAGGCTCAGGAGAGCCAAAGTGATAAGCTTTAACCCTTTCTTCACGCTCAGACTGTTGTCGGGGTATACCTTTGGAGCCAGCCTGAACCAGAGCTGACCGGCCAGTGGCTTTTCTTTCTCCCAGGCAGCATCTGGTGGATCTGAACAACACACCTGCAGATGGGCAGTATGATTCCTTACCACTAGGCAATGACCATTCCTCTCAGTTCACCAGTTGAAGGGCCACTGTCAGGCTGTTAGCCAAAAGGTTGGCAGTTCAAACCCCCCTGCTCTTCCTGAGGAGCAAGACCTGGCAGGGAGCTGCTGTGAGGATTCTCAGCGTGAGAACGCCTGGGCTGTTCTACTCTGTCCTGCAGGCTCACAGAGTCAGTATCTGCTCCACAACAGAGTCCACCCACCACAAGAGCGGACCACGAGGGGACATTTCCATTGTCTAGCGGCCACGATAAAAAGGGTGTAAATAAACGACTCAAGTTTATGTTAGCAATCTGTTTCATTTAAGCCATTATATTCAAAACATTCTGAGAAGACATGTAACAAGCATAAAAGTACAGAGATTGTTTACAATCTTCATGCAAGTCTTCCAATCCAGTACGTATCACACCCTGGCGCACATTTCAGTTCTGACCAGTGACAGACACTTTAGGGACTCGGAGGTCACGTGCAGTGACTGATACCATCAAGACCAGTATTTCGGCGGTTGTTGTCGGTGTTCTGCCCTCAAGTCAATTCTGCTCCATCATAAGCCCACATGACAGAGCAGAACTAATAAGGTTGTCCAGGCCATACACTTTACAGAACCACACTGAGGGGTCTTGCTCCCTTACAGGATGTGGCGGCTTCGAATCAACAACCCTTCGGTTAGCAGCCAAGTATTTAACCATTGCACTACCAAGCTCATTGTTGTTGTTGTTGTTGTTGTTGTTGTTGGGTACTGTTGAGTCAAGTATGACCAACAACTCTATGAACAACAGATCTGAACCCTAACCTGTCCTGGGCCATCCTCACAATCTCTGATGCATTTGAGCCCATTGTCACCATCACTGTGCCAATACCTCTTGAGTGTCTTCAGTGCCACCCTCCAAACATTTCACTGATTTCAAATTTATTATAGCCCACAGTGACCCCAATGGACCAAACAGAATCACACAGGTTTCCGAGGCCACCATCTTTAAGGACGCAGCTGTCTCAGTGTTCTTCCACCAAGTGGCTGGTAGATACAGACCACTGTTTCGTTAGCAGCTGAAATCAGTGCCCCCAAGGCTCCATTCAGCACAAACTCTCCTTCTTTTGAGGAGGCATGGATGTGCAGGCACAGCACACAGTGTGCTGGGCTGCTACCTGAGAGATCGGCAGTGAGTCCACAGGGGGAAATGGGCAGCCTCAGATCCCCCAGGGAGGGTCACTCTCAGTCAGAATGAACTCCAGGCCAGAGGGTTAAGGCAGCAGGCTCTCCCATCGTTCTCCCTTAAACGGCCACGCTTTCAGTTAGCAGGGAGTACTTAGCCACCGTGCCAGGACACTGTCCCTTTAGACAGGAAGTCCAGAGGCTGAGTGGGTCAAGAGCTGTGCTGCCCACCAGGCGTTCTGTGGGGGACAAATGGGCAATCTTCTGCCATGGGATTTATGGTCTCGGAAAACCCACTGTCAGTTCTGACTGCACTGAAGTGCGCTCTAGAAAGCTGGAGTCGCTGGAGGAGTAAATTCTGTAAATTACCTCCATGATGAACATGAGTGGACAATCACGCTGGCTTAGTGGGCAGCTGAGTTGGTGGAGGAGCCAGGGAATATCTTGAGGACTACTGTTACTGTGTGCTGTGAGTCAGAACCAACCCACAGCTGACCCTCCAGTGGGTTTTCAAAGGCAGTAAATCCCACAGAGCTGATGATGGATTCAAACCATGAGCCTCTGTCACTACTACACAGCTTCTTACCACTAGGCCACCAAGATGTATTTCAAGCTTCCAAGAGGAAGTTTGGTATCTGGTATTGACAACAAGGTTTACTGTTCACTCAGTAAACCTCATCACTGATTTATAAAGACAGAAACAAGAAGCACTCTTCATTTTCATCCAGGAAATATGGTGCCTAGCCAAGGTTTCCTCTATGAGAGCTGTCCCTCCCCTTCTCCCAGAGGTTCAGCCTCATGGCTGTCAGGGGCCGCATCCCACCCTAGAGGACACCCACCTCCCTGTGCTCGCCACCAACATGGAAATGACATGTGGAGATGACCGCCTTCCTTCATCGTGCCATGGCCATGGGTGAGGCAGAGTGAAGATGGCCTGCGCTTACCAGCGTTACCTACCTCAGGCTTACTGTGGTGGCCCAAAGCAATAGACAGAGCGCGCTTAGCAAACTGCAAGGCGCTCTACCACTCTAATATTATTACTCAGAGAGGACACCATTCCTCGCCTAGAAGAGCAGATAGAAGAAAGAAAAAACAGTTGTAACTCGAATCAGAGAGATTACGGAATGGGGGCCCCACGAAAAACCCACTGGTTTGAGTGGACTTTGTTCCCTTAAAAGAATCTGAAGAGGTTTCTGGGCCCTCTTGCCTTTCGAGTAAACTGGAAGAAGCTCAAGCGAGGCAGCTGCGAGAACACGTTTCCACCACCGTACTGACCACCCACTCCACGGCTTTTCCTCCTCCCAAATACAGTCAAACTCAAACGCGGTGGCTCAAAACAGTTCCAGTTCTGCTTCCCGATTCCTAAATGTGTTCTAAGCAGACAGCTCCCCCAGGGAAGCTCCTGGTACTGGCACTATTCTTGGAGCAAAAGTTCGCAGGCTCCGGGGAAGTCCTAGCTCCAGGGTCCTCACCCCCGCGCAAGCTCTCCAACGCTAAACCCTCTCGCCTCTCCAACAGAAAGGCCAGGCCGGCCTGGCCGCAGCCCCTCACCTGGCCTGCTGCTGCCTCGGCCCCAGGGCTGCTCTAAGCGGCCGGCCTGTGACGGTCCAGCCTGGAGTGGCCGCACAAAGGCGCCTTGTGCCTCTGCGCTCCGAGCGCCAGGCACGCATCCCGGCTGGGCAAGGAGGGCGCCACCCGCTGGCATCCCCAACTCTCAGCCAGCGGAGGAAGGCTCTTCCTGGGATCCCCTTTGAAGATGGGACTCGCCACAACTCATAGTGCTGCAGCAACAGCACCGAGCTGGGGAGAGTCGGGGCGCACAGGCCACGCAGAAGTCTGCAGTCAACGCGCCGCGCGTTCCAGCGCCCCGACCGCAGGAGGAGCTCGGCAGCCTTTCCCGGTCCCTCGCGCCCAGGCCCCGCTCACCTCGAGTCCAGTCCACCACTTGTTTGGGGCTCCACTTGGTCACGGGCTCCATAGTAAATGGCTGCGCTCCGGCTGGGCTCGAGCGAAGGTGTCCAGTCCTGAGGCCTGAGCCCCAAGTCCCTTCCAGGGAGAGTGCGCCCACACCTGGTGCTCCGCGCTGGTGCCCTCCGTCAAGGCTGCATGGCGTGGTCAGAGGGTCACCCCAGCGGGCCCTGTCTACAGAAGGGACAGCTGTGTGGCTTCTCTTCCAGCTGCCACCATCCAGCGGAGGCCCCGCCTCCTCTGGCCCCTCTGGCCCCTCTGGCCCCGGCTCTGCTCCCGGGCGTAGCGAGGATCCCAGACACCCTTGACCTCAGCGCTGGACCCCCTCCACCCTTCGGACTGCCCAGCAGCCTAGGGACCCTGCAACTCCGCTTTGCGCGGCGTCCTCCGGGCTCTGTGGACGGAGCCCTTGCCTCAGCCTCTGGTTGGAGGACGAGAGCTCGATTTGAGTATCTGCTCCAAACTGAACGCAACTGAGAGAGAGGCGGGACGGCGCCAAGTGAAACTCACGGGGGGTGGGGCGTCCTGGCTCCGCCCCCGACCACGTGCACTCCTGTGGCTCCGCCTCTCTGCGTTCCAGGAGGTGGGATCTGGTTGGGGGCGGGAAGCTGTGGACGGGGCGCTCGGCTCCTCCTCCAACCACGTGCGAACCTGTGGGTCCCCCTCTCTCTCTGTGCTCCGAGGGGCTGGGCCGGGGTCTGTGGGCAGGGCGCCTGGAGCTCCACCCCACCACGTGCACCCCTGTTAGGGCCCCCACGACCCCTGTGCACTCCCAGGCCCAGGGCCAGGGTAGAGGGCTATGGGCGGGGCGCCCAGGCTCCTCCTCCAATCACTTGGGCCCCGATGTCCGCGGGTCCAGCCCTGTAGCTCCAAGGGGCAGGCCCGGGGCTGTGGGCGGGGCGTCCGGGAGGCCGCGAGCCAGCGGGATCCTGGGTAGCCGCGTGGTCAGTCTGGGCATGAGTAGCCGGACGCTCAGATCCAAAGATCCCAATGTTCTGTTAACTCCCCGAGCTTTGGAACACGAGACTGTTCTGTACACCCTCCTCGCTGTGAGCCTCTTAAAGCCAAATAGCTTTTATTAGGAATGAAAGAGCAGTCACTCAACTGTCTTTTTTTTTTATAAACTGCCCCTCTGATGACCTAGTAGGGATATGTGCTGCGAACTAGAAAGTTACCAGTTTGCATCCACCGGAAGTTGTGCAGGAGTAGGGTGGGCGAGCTCTTGGGCAATTTAAAGCCTCTGAAAACTCGGGCGGGGGGGGGGGGGGTTCATCTAAGAGGCAGCTCCAACCCAACAAAAATGAGTTGTTTATGGTTTTGTTGTAGTATTTTTTGTTGTAGTATTTGTGGTGGTTGTTTTTGCCCCAGAAATGCTGATGGTAGTTCTACGACAGCGGTGAGTTAATCCTGGAAACTGCTAACATGTATCTTTTACTGTTACAGAGAGCAGTCTATTCATTCTCCGGTTTGCAAAACGAGGTAATGATGCTTGGAAAGTTGTTAACTGGAGGAGGGGAAAACCCCAAAGCGTGCATACAAACCACACAACATAGGGTCACCTTTAAGAAAATCCTAAACTAAAAGAAAGAGAGAGGAAGGAGAGGGAGAAGGAAGGAAGGGAGGGAGGCAGGCAGGCAGGCAGGCCTAAACTCTGCCCTTGCCCCGACCTGAACCTTTCCTGAGTTCCTCTTTTGAACCCCCTGAATTTTGCCTCCCACCCACCCTTTGGTGCTTTATAACCCCAATTTTTACTTATGGCTATTTATTTACATCTTCCTGTGGAAACTGTTAACCACTTGAGGGCAGAACCTACTTGATATGATGACATTTTCTCTGCCGTTTCTAACACCTAACGCACAGCCCCTAACACCAGGGAGGAGTGTGGTTGGTAGCTTTTCATTTTGTACAATTTCTATTAATGCCTGGTAGGTGTGAGCCACCGAATTTGCTAGTATGTGCTGGATTGAGTTGTCTGTACTATTTGGACAAATCTGTTTGGCCACAAGGCTTGGGTAGATGGCTACCCACAGACCTAAGCGTCTATTGTGGGCTGTGAGGAGATCAAGCAAGCAGAGCAAACATATCAGAGATAATGAAACAGTAGCCTCTCTCCCGCACAGTTTATCTATGAGACTGAGGAACCCACAGAGAAACAAGATGTGCCTCCCTCTCACTGCCTTGAAGTTGGCATTGCTCAGCTGACCCTCCAGTGAGCTGCTTTTGCGAGATGTAAATCGCACCAGAGAAAAAGCTTGCCCAGCTTTCTCCCTCAGAGCTGCTGGTGGGTTTGAATGTCCAGAGAGGTTCAGCCTTTGCATTAGCAGCCAGACTCCCTGAGGACAGTGCCACCAGTGCTCCCTAAGGAGGACATACAGCTTTCAAACAGAGGAAATCCCATGAAAGCCAGAACCGGTATAGAAGGGAAACCTGTCAGAGGAGGAAAATGCAAATATTTTCCACTAAAACAAGCAGCCAAGGAGATAAGATGGGAGAAGGTGTCAAAGATGGGGAGACTTCTGAAATCGCGTTATCAGAGCTTTCACTGTATATTGATTCCTTTTTCTCAAAAGGCACAAGAAATGTAGCAAAGGAAAGCACTGAAACTCCTGGTAAACGCGTTGTCCTTGGGGGTGGGTGCGAGAAATAACCCTTTAAAATTACTATCTTCTATTGCTGAGAGTCTTAGTGACAATGAAATTAAGGACTCAGTTGTTAACTAAAAACGCTAGTACAGAGGTAACGTGTGGTTGCTGTGAAGCCGAACACTGTGACGTTGATGAGTCAAATGCAAGAATGGTTATCCGTGGTGGACAGTGTTTGGTGGCGCTCCCTGATTAAAACAAGCTTTGAAGCAAAAATGGCATCCACTTCCATAATAGCTTGCCTCTGGAAACCCTATGAAACTGGAGAAAGGACAAAAGTTATACAGGTGTCCAGGAATTTCGTTCATAGGGTCATTATGAGTCACCAACGACTTGATGGCACTTAACAAGAAGTCCAAACCCACCATGAGCTTCCAGAGACAAAGATGTGGCATCTGCTTCAATGATCACTACAGCATTGGAAGCTCCATGGAGCAGTTAGTTCTACTCAGGTAGGGTCACTCTGAGTCACACTCCGAACATTGTCAACTATCTTTACGGCAGTTAGGAGAACAACCTTGGCCTTTGACATCGTATTCACTGGCTAAATGTCACCAGTCTCATCCACAGTTTGAGTCACAGCTAACATCCCATCTTGTGTCATGTTTGCTTAAATACAGGGTGATCTCATAACTTATCTCCAAACCAAGACTCTTCCGAGTTTGTAAGGGGTTCCTATCAGTAATTGTATTAGGGATAACATAGTTAACAGGGTTGTGTGGTCCCCGTAATTAGGAAGTGCACTGTTTTTTATCATAGGATTATACTGGATCTTTTCAAGCTCATTTCTAGTAGTCATTACTGGGGCATCAAAACCTAAGTTTGTGGGAGCTAGGCAAGGGGTTTTTTGTTTTGGTTGGTTCTTTTTCAGGAAAGAGTTTGCAGAATTTCACCTCATTGCGTCAACTCTCTATCTGAGCTCCACTGCAGCTAAGGGAAAAAGACAAGCTCAGATCTCCAATCTGAAAGACCAATTAACTACCTAAATGAATTAGCATTCTGTTTACATTTGAAGTTCTGAAGGCTAATTACTATTTAAATAAGGCCTCCTACCTTAATTACAGCTGTTAGCATGTGAAAAGTTTTGGGGAGGCCTGCCTTCCAGTTGAAAATGCAAACTTGAAGAAATCCAAAGTCATTGTTGGCCCATAAAGATCCATAGCACTGGACATTGTATACAAAACAATCTGTTTTCCTTCTCTGCCAATGATAACCTGGACTATTTATGCTGCATGTGCTGGCACATGGCCTACCTGCAGCTTAGTGCTTCCTCAGAAGCAGCATGTCTTCATTTGAACCCTGCCTGGGCCCCCTGCCCCTTGCATACAATAAGGACCTGAATCCTTTGTTGTTGTGATTGTTCATAAAATTGAACCAAGAACCCAGGGATCCTGGATTTCACTTTCCAGTTGCTTCCTGTTTCTAAATTTGGGACTCCTTAAATATTTAGGTCTGTCATTATTTTTCCTCATTTCAACTGACTTCCAATCTAGGTTCCACCACCACACTGCTCTAACTACCTGCATTCCTTTACTGTTCATAGGGTTTTCAGAAGCCTGTTATTTAAGAAGTTGCTGGCCAATCCTCCTTCCTAGTCTGTCTTAATCTGGGAGCTGTATTAAAATCTGTCCACCATGGGTAACTCTTGTGGCATTTGACACACCAGTGGCATAGCTTTCAGTATCACAGCAACCCACAAGTTATCTCAGTACAGCAAACTGACAGACAAGTGCTGTACAAAATAGAACAATGTTTACTTTGTAACTATAATAGCAAATCATCCTTCAACAAAAAAGAACTAAACAGAAGATTTCAAAAGGCAGCTCATGAAGACAAAGCAAAGTATTATAATGGAATGTACAAAGACCTGGAATTGGAAAATAAAAAGGGAAGAACTTATTCTGCATTTCTCAAGCTGAGAGAACTGGAAAACAAATTTAAGCCTCAAATTGCAATATTGAAAGGTGCTTTGGGCAATATATTGAATCGACCCAGAAATCATCTAAAGAAGATAGAGGGAATACACAGAATCACTGTACCAAAAAGAACTGACAGACACTGAAAAATTTTAGTAAGTAGCATATGGCAGGAGACAGTGGTAATGAAGGAAGAAGTGACTGCTGCAATGGGCTCTTGTGTGTCAGGAACTGTGAGATGGCATAGGATAGGACAGGCTTCAGATCTGTTGTACACAGGGTCACTATGAGTCATATTCAACTTGACAGCGCCTAACAACAACAACAACAACAACAACAACAAATATCTAGATCATGTAGTCAATAAATCAGAGAGTTCTGGTGGCTTAGCAGCAAGAAGATGCCCTGCAATCCCAAAGGCATGCAGTTCGAGGCTACCAGTTGCTCTGTGG